TGTGTGTGTGTGTGTGTGTGTGTGTGTGTGTGTGTGTGTGTGTGTATATATATATATATATATATATATATATGTGTGTGTGTATGTATGTATATCTTAAAATGGGATTGTTAAGTGAGGGCCATCAATGCTGAATACAGAACTAACTAGACATACACAACTAGAATACATTAAAAAGATGCTGATAAGCACTAGGAGGTAGCCATTATTAATACAGGTAGTCCTCAGTTTACGATGGCAATTGGGACTGGAATTGCCATTGCTTAGCAATGGTAATTCTGGCAGTCCTGGTATGGTGCTAAGCAAGGACCTCATGTGACTGCAACTTCTGACTTCCTGTCAGCTTCCCCATTGACTTTGCTTGTGGGAAGCTGGTTGGAAATCATGATCGTGTGACTACGGCTTGCTGCAGTGTTGTAATTGTAAGCTGGGTGCCGAGTGCCTGGATCATGATCACGTGACCACAGGGATACTGCAATGGCCAGAACTCTGAGGACCAATCATAAGTACCATTTGTTCAGCACCATTGTAATTTTGAATGGTTGCTGAATAAATGGTTATAACCTGAGGACTACCTGTACATTTTTCTTTGCATTCAAATGCTGCAGTTGTCCGATTTAGTCAGCTGTGCTTATTCCTCATCTCTTGCCTCATAGCACTAACTATTTTGCTGAACCAACTAGTCAAAAATATCTTTTTATATAAATTGCATCAGTCATTTGGGATATTTGAAAAAATAGGGAGTTAGACTTGGGTCTTTCAATAGCGAGGTATGCTGCCTTTCACTAATTTATTGAATCATCATCTTTTGTTATGAAATGTCCTGTAAATCATATGGCTTACCAGAAGTATCAAACTGGCTTAAATGTTTAAACTTCTAAAATGTGTTTTTAGTGAACACATTCAGCAGGTATACTGGGAATTGAAGAGGGAGATGTCTAATTTGCATCTGGTGACCGAAGTGCAAGCTGAAATGCTGAAGAAACTGAAAATGATTCCATCTACAACTAAGAAAGGCAAGTGCAGGTTTGCACAATCAAAAATCTGAAAACATGGCACAGACTCTCTTACATCATTTTGAACTGCAGCTTGTTGCTATAACTTAATTGAATTGCATCAGTTTAAACTGATACGTCTCATTTTTATAGTAATTCCAACATCCCTATTTTCTTTCTTGACTTCTTTCTCTAACTGGTCAACTTCACACATAAAGGTGTTGCTGATGGGGCTTTCTTTTTTATGCTGTTTTCTCTTCTCTTGTGGCTTCTTCCCTCAATCAGGTGTTTATTTGTACAAGGCTGAGGTGTTAAGTTTAGTTGTATTTGACCTTTTACTGCAACTATTTTAGATTTTAAAAAGCACCAGAGAACTCTTCAGTTTTCAGTTGTATCCTTCCACAAATAGTGACTTTTTAAGAATATAAAAAGAAAAATCTATGCATTTTTATTAACTTTTTACTAGTATAACTCATTAATCTTAAGCTTCACTTTATACACAATAACATTTCTACAAAGTACTTTTGATAATTAGATTCCATACTTGTATTTTAACTGGAAAATTCTTGACTGCCCAGGAAATTTCTTGCACCCTTCTGAATTCTTAAGCAGGGGTCTTTCTTCCAACAGTGAGAAGCACTTGAACAGAAATTGTCATCTGTTTCTGTGTATGGAAACCAAATCAAACATGTATGTTTGATTGACCCAGGCTGATGTGGTTATAAGGTACAGATGGAAGTTTCACTTTAAAATGAGTTTAAAGGAATGCATAAGGCCAAAACCTGTATCTTCCCTGTGTTATCTCATACACTTTCTGGGAAATTCTCCCTGAATCAGCTTCTTTTAAGGAAGCACAGTTGGGGGGTGAGAAGAAAGGGTTAGCTCCTATTACATCTTGGTATGTTAAAGTTAAAAAAAACCATCCATGATGGTTTAGCCCATAGGGTACAGATTATATAGGAATAAATGTGAGAGCTGATCAAAGGAAGACAAGCTTTTCACAGTAGGAACAGTTGGGTCTGGTACTGGAGGAACAGGCGTCTGGTAAGCCACTGTTAATAATGTCTGAATTGTATTAAGTGTAAGTGACTTGTGTTGGGAGAAGAATTAAAAATACTTGGTTCTTTCCACAGTGCCATCCTATACCTCTGTTCAGTGTATTGAAGACCTTGAGAGGGACGCTACCAATCTCCACTTAGGAGCTTCTGGAGCAGTGTGCAACAATAGACTATTTCCAACAAGTGATGATGTTTTCAGTAATCTTGCATCTTCCTCCCCATGTACTAATGAGAAACTTAGTTCTGTATGTGACTCTCCATTTCCGGATCATAACTCCTATGGAAAAAACTCTCTGGAAGATAATTCTTGGGTATTTCCAAGCCCTCCAAAACCTAGTGAGACAGTATTTTGGGAAATGAAAAACAGAATGACTCACTTAAACTTTCCAGGAAACAACTTGGATCAGTATAACCAAAACTGCTTGCATAAGAGCTAAGAACAGTAGGAGGAACTTAAATATAGTTCTGAACAAGGTCTTATATGTGTCAGTAGAAAATAAGCAATGGGGAGGAGTAGGATGAACTTCCAGGTTGGATGTGACTCTTCTCTGTTACCTAAACTTGAAAACCAGTGAAGTCCAAAGGAATTTGTTGTGATGAATGATCTACTATACAGGAGACTGTCCTCAGTTTTCTGATTGCACATTGGCAGATTTCTAAAGTATTAAGCTGTGGAGTAAAACAAAAGTAGCACGTGGTGTGAATAATATCACCCTGAAGTATGTTATCTTCAGACATTTTTACAAGCTATGAGAATGACTTATATTTTGGACAAGTCTTCGATTTCAGCTTCTCAGGTAAATAATATATTCAACTCTGAAGCAGTCGCTGGCTTTTTATTAATGGGTGATATATGCTGAAAAAGAGCAAATGAATTGTGTAGTAATTACTTTCATTCCTTTTCTCAACTGTTCATCATCACCTTGTGGTGAAGAATATGAAATAGTAGAAAAAGGAAAAGTTCCTAAATGCTACAGTACAATATTTCATCACTTCACAAATAATATCATGTAACTTAAGTGTTCTCTGTACTGAGGATTTCCTAACAAAAATAGTGTCTGTTTTGATGTGAGATATCCAGGCACCTTAATACAAGCAAGAACTGTAATATTCCAAATAATGTAATATTTCTGTGATACCACATAGCTGATATCCTATACTAAAGAAGATGCATTTTATCCAAAATATTGCTTACATGGGTAACTGATTAACAGCATTGAAATAATTTTACATCCTGTTTTTTTAAATCCCATTTTATTATCAGTAAATCTCTGCTGAGGTACTTGAAGCAATAGAGATGCTTTTACCAGCATATGATTGGGCACATTTCCAGAGGTAGTTTTTTGTACTTGGCCTTTAAGATGCAGAGAGAGAAAAAAAGCCCTTGACAATATACCTGACAATATAATGACGGACCAGCTGCAGGTTTTGCTTAGTTCAGTGCCCAAATCTCATCTGATCATTCCTACATGTACAAATTCATGTATTCTGCCATATCCCATTTGTTTCTAAACTTGTACTTGAAACATGAATAGAGAAAAGTAAAATCTATAGTGGAAGAAATAATTGCATGTTTCTGAAAGATAAAAACTTCCCGTGTGGTTGTGTAGATGAGCAGCACAACCATATCAGTGTTACCTTCCCTTCCGTTGCATTGCATTTTGTATAATTCAGTACTGGTGCTTTCTTCCCTATCATTACTAAAGAGAATATAATCTGGGGGGGGGGAAGATGAAAGAATGTTTTCTCTGGTGTTAGTGAATGGCACACATAAATAATGTTCATCAGATTTTTTAAAAAAATCTTGTCCTGTTCACATATCCTAGCTTGTCTGTGATTAATGGAAATGATGTCAGATGCAGGAATTTATTCTGACCAATGAACATAACTGACTCAAGGGAGTACAATCCTCCTGAAGAGTAATAGAACAAAACCAATATGCATATAATAAATCTAAGCCACTGACTTTAGCTGATAGAACCAACTACCTGTGTAATAACAAAGCAGCAGTAGCCATTTCTCATGTGGCTGCATAGCTCTGATGTTTCTGAGGGCTGCTTTTTTTGGATTACAGATCTTGAATAAGTTACCATTGTCCAACATGCCAAGCTGCTTCATGTTTTCAACAACGTACTGAAGATATGGTCATATTTTTAAATAAATTATTTTTGTTTGAAACAATTTTATGCAAATTGGTAGAAGCCTTTTTTGTTTTGAATGCTCTGAGCTATGTGTTCACTTACCCTATCTAATTGTAATTCTAAATCTGAGCAAATTCTGATTCCATCCCAAAGGTTCCTGGGTGGAAAACATAAAATCTGGAGTAGGGTTTCATTGTTGATAATTAGAAATGTGTAAACTCTTTACAATTTAGGAACAGAATGTTCTGTTCCCCTTCCAGACCAAGACATTCTTGGGGTTGAAGGCTGCATGTTGACCTGGGCGTAGCATGCTTCATTCCCAAATCAGTGAGTCTTGACATTTTGAGTATTTCAAATTATTATTTATATATCTTAAATAATACAATCTTATTTAAAATTTATATCCTGATTTTCTTTTTAATGAGATCAAAGTAGGATACACTAGAAATGGAAAATTTCTGGAAGCGGGGGGGAGGATGGAACTCCCAGTACTAAATATCAAAGATTTGGGTGAACCATTTCTAATCAGGGCTGTTGTCTTTTATGAGCTTTAATGCACTGAAATGACATTTTAGTCTCATAAATTTCATTGATACAGAATCTCTGAGGGCTTATATTATTGTGATTTTCTTAATTTGAGTGAAAGGTAATGTTAGATGGCTAATTCATAGAGAATAAAGGTTTTTTGATCTGAGAAATAATTATTTGAATTCTCACTAACATTGTTAAAAACTTCTGAGTTCAAAGTCACTAGGAGGGGTGCATGAAGCATTCATGGAATTATGAATCTGAAGTACTTACAGGTAGACTTAATAAGAGGTCTATCCCCTAAATCTATCTATCTTACTGGTATTCATGAAACAAAAAATGTGTTTTGTTTCAAGTTCAGTGCAAAGTAGCACCACTTGAAACATTATTTTGAGCTGCCAATGTTCTCTTGGAATGAAGGGTTTCTAGTGTTCTGCCCATAGGAAATAACTGGAATTCAAGACCAGCTGCTATTCCCTTGTTTTTCACTCCAGGACTACAAAAGTAAGTTGGGGGTACACTGTGCTAAATGCTACAACCCAAATTGCACAACATTTATTTTAAAAAATACTAAAATTTTAGTAGGAAATGGCAGGAACACAGTTCTGTCCTGTCTTCAACTAAAAATCTACTTACACCATCATCTGATCTAATCTAAAAGATTAGATCAGCATTAAAATGAGAATAGAATTTTTTTGTTTTTTTTAAAAAAATCCTGTGGCTCAATTTTCTGTAAGCTCTCTAATTTTATTTATTTATTGGTATCTTACTGATGCTTTTTAACTGCATGAAATTACAACAGAACACTAGATCAAATAGACTATACATGTACACCAAAAGTTCAGCAAGCCAATCAAAATAGAGTAGCACTCTTTATAACCTTAGTAAACGCATGTGTCTGTACACACACCCAGAGCTACTTTTGTATTACCTGCTTGCAAAATAAACTGCAGTACAATGTTCATGGAATCCACCCTTCCATCCATGAACCTCCCCACAGAAGCTTCAGAGAAACAAATGGCAACTTACCAGGCAGACTTTTGTCTGGCCGTGTGTTTAAATGTTCTTTCAACACTGCCTCATCATCCCATTCAGGCTAAAGTGTTAGCAACAGGGACTTGACTTATCTCTGCTGTTGTACTGGCTAGGCTGGAAAAAGTTTGAAAAAAGCAGCCTAATCGTAAGTCACAAAACAGTTGCCTAATTGCGGCGCTCAGAACAGGACTGTGTTTTGTTTCATGCCTAGCACACTCAAAACAATAGTTTTGAGAGCATAATATTCCAAAGTCGTAACATTTTACACCTCCTTAATATTCCTTACCAATCAATCAATCCTTTGTTGCCCCAGCTCTTGATTTCAGATACCATAAAAAGAGTGGGGACCATCTGTTTTGTATACAGAAATCCAACCAGCTCGATCAATATAAAAGAATGTGTGAAAACTGGAAATTCTCAGAAGTGCTTCAGGAGATGCCTCTGCAAATGGGCAAGTTGCAGGATTAGAGAAAAAGTACATAAAAAGGAAAAATCAGTTAAATCTCAGTCAACAATTTTGACATGAGCTATTAACATACCACTTATTTAATATTACAGAACTGATTCAAAATGTATTCTGTGATGGAATATTCTTCACAATAGCAAAAATGATGATGATGATGATAAAATTCATGAAGCTTCCTTTTATTTTCATACCTATTGGGTGAGAATAAATTCCCTGAGAACCATTTTTAGCATATATCTGAAAAGGGTTGCATGAGTAATTAAACAGAGAAACATTAATTCTTTTATTCAATTCCAGAGAATACCCCCACATTGTAAAGTTCTCACTACAACTTGTGAACACATCATTCTGCTGCCCACTTTTGTCTCTGCTTTCCACATCACCTGTTGCTTTTATATCTGGATCTTTTGACAGAACATTCAGTTCTATTTCTTTACATCTCCAATATATCTCAAAAAATAATATCCTACCACCACCATACTGTATATTTTGAAAGTAAAATTGATGAATATTGGATGTAAAGTGATGCTAACATTCTGTCTTTCAGTTACTGGATTTCAAGTCTTCTCATAAATCCAAGCCCTGTAATGGATCAAAAATTATTTACCTAAAGGGAGCCATAGCTCAAAAACAAAACTGGGAGGTACTGCACAAACAAGAGTAAATTATATTATAGGACCAAGAACCCTATAAGCTCTTCGCAATTCTTTGATTGATTATGCAAAGGTGCCATCACGTCTTCTGAAATTGCCAGCATATTTTAGGAGAATTTGTAGCTTACTATCTGCTTTTATTACTTATCTTCACACCATTCCTCCAAGGAAAATGTTTTCCCGCCAGACTTAGCCAGCATAACTAGTGATCAGGAATAATGGAAGTTATAGTCTACTAATACCTGGAGTGTCACAGGGTCCTTCCCCTGATGCTATTCTCTTCTTTCTGAAAATGAGTACTTGTTCTGATTTATATGAGTAAATATAGGAATAAAACTATTGAAAGAGCATCCAGTGATAGAGCACCCTGAAAAAGATGTCCCCATTCAGAATGTACTGAAATTCTGAACATAAGGAAGACTGATAGACTAGGCCTCTGCCTCTACTTGCCATCAACACTTCATTTTTTTTTATACAGAGGTGTTGCTTGGAGGAATATTTATTTCAGAAGCTTATACAAAGTAATAAAAGCACAGGCCCAGGTTTCTTGTTTCAGTTTAACCAACCAGGGCTTAGGAGATAAGGTGACAATCCCCCTTGCAAAAAACAATGAGAAAAACTCTGATTTCCATGTACACAAATTCTTCAGTAATAAGAGCAGTAGAGACTTAAAAGCAAACACACTTTTGTGTTCAACATCCCATCAGACCAGGTATAAGTTATACTAATCAGCCAGGGGCACTACACGGTCCTTTCTTGACACAGGTAAGTATTCAGGTTGTCATTTCAGCATTCCTGTTCAATAGCACATGTTTTGTTAACAAGAGATCTCGTTTACTGATGCATATAACAGAAACGTAGCAGAGTGGCTTATTTCATATTTAACAAGCCAATTTATATTCTCTTGTCCTTTGAACCATTCATTTCCCTTTATAAAAACTTTCCAGCAGCTTTCTCAAACTCAGTGGTTATTAGGTGTGTTGAGAAATGAGAATTATATTCTTAATACATCTGATGTCCATCAGGTGGCTACCTGTAGGAACTCTCCTTCCCAAGCAACTCTGCCTTTAAAATTTCACATGGAGTTTCTCTCTAAAGCGAGGATCTCAAAGATTCACACTCAGTTCAGATTTATTATTCTCTGGAGGACATTCACTTGACAAACCAAATCCTGTGAGGTAATTAGAGGGGGAAAAAATCTTGCAAAGGACATCTGCTCTGTTACTTGCAGATATTAGACATTGTACAATGGAATCCAAGAAAAATTAATTTTCATAGAGGCCACCTGTGGTACAGACTCAAAAGTAGAGTACCATTAACATTATCAAAAAACTGGTGGAAATCACACAGTCTTTCCTTCCCAAAGAACCCCACTCTATTATATTTTAAATATTGTAAACTGCCTTAAAACCTGTTAGATCTTGTACTCCAAACAAGCAAGAACAAAAGGTACAGATTTATTTTGCTGTGTCCTGAAAAATGAGTATATATTTAAAGTGTTAATAGTTGTGGCGCAGCTGCATGTTTAAATGAACTGAAGAATTACTATTGGTGTACCAAATTTAATATCCAGGTTCCATTAACTTTTTTAGCATAGTCATGTGCTTCAGGATTTCTGTATTTGGTTTCATTTATTTTGGCAGACGTAGGCTGACAAAATCAGAAAGAAGTTGCTGTGCATATGTCAGTTCAGGTTAAAAATGTCAGCCATACAACTTGCCTATGTGCTAGTAGAATGCTCTTGATGAAGAGGACTTTTTGTTGCCCTGTATTCTTCCCTGGTTTTCAAATATTCAGCCTTGCATTCTTCATAAAATGCTGGATCAGTATAGCTAAAAGACAGGCAAAATACGTGCATTAATTTTTCCACTCAATTACATTTATACCAGACAACTTACAGACCAAAAAGAATAGTGCAGGGAATGCACTAACATCAACTATCCAAAGCATATATTCTATGTAAATGCAAAATCATATCTGCTGTTTAAATGGGAACCCATCTGCTGTTGCAAAAAAGTTCAAAACTAATTTTCTATGAGGAACGTTAATTTTCAGAATTCTGTGCCTTCATTCCTTGTCTATCTAATATGTAAACACATAAACATTCAGTGTATATGAAATAAAAGGTACCCATGAAAAACAATAAACAAAATTATAAAAATGTATCATGTACCCCTAACACCCATGTCCTAGGGAAGGCTCCGTTTGGCAGCTCCGAGTACTTTTCAAGTATTCTTTGCCTGCACAGACATTTCCCCTGGGCCTGGAAGCCAGGTGGTTGTGCACAAACATGAATGGAGAAAGCCCCTGGGAAAACTCTCAAAGCAGCTATGCTGAACGTTCTGGAGGATCCAGATGTTGCAACACATCATGGAAGGGGACATAATGCTGGGCCTCATGAAATGCTTTGCAAAGCCTTAATATGGAGAATACATAGGTATGAGCGAACAGTTTTTGCTATGAAAACAAAAGCAGGTAACCAAGCAGGTGCAATTTGAGCAATGGAAGGATATAAGCTTCCCCACAGGGAGGAGAGAGTATACAGGTAGTTCTCACTTACCGACCACTCGTTCAGTGACCGTTCAAAGTTATGACAGTGCTAAATGAGGGGGACTTATGATGGGTCCTCATAGTTGCAGCCATCAGAGTGTCCCCACAGTTGCATGATCGCGATTCAGGCGCTTGGCAACCAGCTCACAATTATGTGTCCTGCAGTCATGTGATCACCTTTTGTGACCTTTATTGCTGGCTTTCAACAAGCAAAGTCAATCAGGAAGGCAGCAGATGATCACAAATGGTGATCATGTGACCACGGGATGCTGTGACCGTGCAGGATTCACCTAAGGACGGCAACTGGAAGTGCTGCAACTGCCGTCATAATTCAGTATGGTCACATGATGTTGCACTTTACGACCATGTTGCTTAGTGACAGAGTTGCTGGGCCCAATTACCATGGTTAAGCGAGGTCTACCTGTATTCTATCTAAAATGATGTTCTTAATTATTTAACCAGATACTTGCCTGTTAGCATTCTCTGGCTTTCCTGATAAACAGTAGTAGGCTTAGTTTGTGGAGTCCCTGGGGTTCTCTGAGCTTGGTTCTTTTCTTGCAAATGTTTCATTACCTGGCTAGGTAACCCCTTCAGCGCTAAAATGGGATGGGTGTTCTCTATTTATGTGCTGTGGCCTGCCTTGCCAGTGCTGGTGGGGGTGGGGGTTTTGTT